GGAGTGGGCCACACCCCCCCTGGCGGGGGGGGAGGGGGGGAGGCTGATTTCTCGCTTTCTGTCTCTCTGTCTCTCAGTGCACACGCCCTATAGCAAAAACCTCTCCCAAAAAAAAAAAAAATTTGCCTGACCCCAAGGGATTCCCCAGTGGGGCACCCCCTGCAGACCACCCAGATATGGTGTGACCCTTTAAGCCATTGCTTTTGTTTTTTAATATTATTTATTTAATTGTATGTATCTTTTTTTATTCGTTTGTTAACAGGGCACTTGAGCTCACCAGAGAGAGACTTCAGACCTTTCTCTGGCCAGCCAAAGGCACTCCATGTTGTCCAGAGACCTGGCCTTCCCTCCAGCAAAGCCCAAGATGAGACAAATATCTGAGAGTTCAGTCCTTAAAAAAAAGGAAAGGAAGGAAGGAAGGAAGGAAACGCTTGAGGTACACGGGGAGCTTCAAACGTGCCCTCCCGGTGGCAATGTCTGGGAGGCCCTTACACCCTTCCCGAGGTGGGTGTGGTGTCTCTGCCCGGCAGGGCCCTTTCTTCCCCTCTGAATTTCCATGTTATTGGACAAGGGAACAGGAGACATTAATGAAATTGGTTTGGGTGGTTTTTATCTTCTTTTACTGGCCTAGTAGAGATTAAGGAGTGTGGAGTGGAATAGTGATGTTAGGTGTTGCCTTTATTATTTTATTTAAAGATTTTGACATGGGGCACATGCACTTATCAAAAAGAGACAGAGACAGGACCAACAGAGAGTTCAATGGTTAGGTCGTTGGTCTCCCATGTAGTGGATCACAGTTTGAGCCCCAGACCCGACGGCTTAAAATTCACAGCTGGGAGACAGCTCCATGGCACTCAAAGATTCAGTCCCAAGAAGTACAGAGGACCCCAAATAGAATCAACCCAAGAAGATCTTCTCCAAGACACATTATAGCCAAATTGAACAAAACCACAAAGACAAGATACTAAGATTGGCAAGAGAAAAAAGGCAAGTTACCTACAAAGGGTATCCCATCAGACTAATGGCAGACCTCTCATCGGAAACAATGCAAGCGAGGAGAGAATGGGAAAATATATTCTAAGTATTAAGGGAAAAGCAATTTCAACTGAGAATTCTGTACCCAGCAAGGTTATAGTTCATTTGGGAAGAAAAGACACGAACTTTCCCAGATAAACAAAACCTGAAAGAATTTACCAGCACCAGACCAGATCTCCAAGAAGTTCTTAAGGGAGTGCTATGTCAGTAAAATTAAATGCAGACGCACAGAAATAAGAGTTCAAAAACTAAGAAAATGGGCAACTTAATTGTAGGGACAAAGTCTGGAGTTGAGTATTATATCCCAGAGTTCAATCTGGAAGATTGAACCTCAACAGAAACAGAAGAAAGATTAAGTACATGAGACTGAACTGATGAAACAGCATTCTGTGACTTGACTAAGATATTGCTGCTTTTCTTCTAAGCTTTGTTGTCCGGTTTTAAGGATTTTTATCCTGTCTTGAGCTGTCAATAGATTCATGTACCTACTATTTGAACAAAATACCAACCTGTTTCTAGGCTTCAAATTTCAAGGAAATATCCTTACCAGTTCAAAACTGCCTTTCTTGAAACCACCAGCTGAACTTGCTATTGAAAGTAGTTAGATTACTTATGATATGGTGTG